CTACTAGTACTACTACTACTACTACCACTACTACTACTACTACCACTACTACTACTACTATTGCTACTACCACTACTACTACTACTACCACTACTACTACTACTATCATTACTACTGCAACCACTACTACTACTACTACTACTACTACTACTACTACTACCACTACTACTATCACTACTACTGCAACCACTACTACCACTACTACTACCATTACTACTCTTACTACTGCTACTACTACTCTTACTACTACTAACACTACTACTACTACCACTACTACAACCACTACTACAACTATTACTACTACCGTTACTACTACTACTACTACTACTACTACTACTACCACTACTACTACTAGTATTACTATTACTATAAACTAAATAACGTCCCTGTCACCGTCTTTGCTCACGCCCTGCTGTGGGGCACACTATGGACATCGTCGGCAACGACTGTCGACCTGCCTTCTGTCTACGTGTTTGTCTGCTGACGGCCCCGATGTACGAGGACCTAAAAACGCATTTTTGCAAAACTGGAGACGGTCTCCCCGACTGACAGAAAGCAGTTGCGAGTAGGACCCTCTAAGTGCTTTTTGTCCATTGTTCCACTGATGGACAGCCTGAAAGCACAGGATGAGTGAGAGTCTGCCCCCTCCCCGCCATCGTGTACTCAGCGGGAACAATGCAGGACCCAAAATGTGGACACAGTTGACCGAGTTGTTGGCAAACGATGCTGTTTTTTGCTATTTGCTCAGCTGCTATCCTCCGCATAACACTGCTGGGACAGTTGGAGTTGTCGAAAAACTCATTACGTGGGTAGTTCTAAAAACATTCATATATCACAGCCCCAACTATGTCGAATTATCGTTCGAAGGCTGCAAAGAACGGAGAGTCAAGAGGGTCACACATACAGTGAATGGGCGATCTCAAAAAATGTTGGCCGAAATTCTAAGATGCGTTTTAGAAAAGGAAACATTACTTAGGCGCGGTTGTAATACTGATTATCTTGCGGTATAATCCTATAATATTTCGGACTTGGCAGGATGTCAGCTTTTGATTGGAATGCTTTGCAACCTCTTGCAGAAACCGTATTCGGAAAACGATGACTACTTAAGTGGCATGTAGAAACCACGTACAAACTTATGTTTTCTTTCGATCGTTTTATAGAGAATCATGTTACCTGTATATATTTTTTTACTCAAAAAGAAGTATGATTAGGCTTTAGAAAGTTTCTTATTATGAGATTTCTAAGACCGTTCAGCATACTTGTCCTTTTAGCATTGTTCCTCATGAAATGTACAGCATGGTCCGCATCCATTGGAAAACTTCATGGACTCTATATTATATATTTTGTTAAGGCATAAAAGAATATCTGATTTTCTTTACGCGGAAGGCATACACCTTGTAGACTGAAATCACCAAGCGCAAATGCAACGACTGGTCAGGCTCTTAATTAAACGGGACTTTGAAAACTTTTTTAAAACTTGATTATGCTCCTTTTTCGAGTAAAATCTATATAGATGACGTGATTCTCTATCAAATGACTAAAATAAAGCATATGTCTGTTCGTGGTTTCTATCAAATATACTTGAATTAACAAGACCATCGAAAATAGATAAAGAAAATTCACGCTTCTTAGGCAGTCATCTTTTTCCGAGTACGGTTTCTACAGAAGATTTAAAAGCAGTGCAATCAAAAGCTAAAATCTTGCCAAGTCAGAACTATTATAGAATTATGTCGCAAGATAATAAGTATTGCAACCGCGCCTGAGTAATACTTCCTAATCTAAAACGTGTCTCGGAATTTCAGCCAACATTTCATAAGATCGGTCACATTCTCTACAACGAAATATAAACGCAAGAAAGCTACTTTTCAGTGAATGGCATAGGAGAGGTAGAACGCGAACGGAAGGGTGTAATCCTAATTGATTTTAGTGAAGACTAGATTAGAGGTGCAAACTCATGAAATGCCAATCGAAATTCCGAAGTGCGTTTTCGACTCGAAAATATTAATTGAGTGGGGTTGTATCATTAGTCGATATGCGCCATAATCCCATAAAAACTAAGTTACTACACGATGCCGACTTTTGCAAGAACTTCTTTCCGGCCGTCTGTGAAAAATCAAATTTTGAAAAAAACCCACTTAAGTGATGGGAATTTTTTCATTAATTCTCGATGACACCATAAATTTGAATGCTTCATCAACAACGTGCATAGAAATATTAATTTCTTTGCTCGTTTGGTAGAAAATTACATTCAAAAATTTTATACTTGATGAAAGGGTTTAATTTGGTTTTAAAAGGTTTCTAATCACAAGATTATTTAGGAGGCTGAAATGCCCGTTTATAAAACATCCTGTCTCTGCATTTATTGATGTTACTTGGAAAGTTTACAATATGTCTCAAGTCGATTGCTCAATTTTATGAACCCCATATGGTACTATTTTAAGTCTGCTTGGAAATATATGATTTTCCGTTGACGGAAAATATACAACTCGTCGTTTGGAAACCCTGAATGCCAGTGTAATGGCAGGTCGGGTTCAAAATTATTCGGGAATTGGAAAAATGTTTAAACCAAACCATTCCCTTCCTTCAAGTGTGAAATTTGAAGATGCAATTTTCTGGCAAATGAGTAACGGAATGCTTGTTTCTATACATGCCTTTTTGAAACGTATTTAAATTTGTAGGGGCATCGAAAATCAATGAGAAAATTCCATGCTTATTAGGTAGCCATTTTTTACCCAGTGTTACTTTTGGAGGTGACCAAAAGAAGGTCGTTCAAAAGCCGGCATCCTGAAGTAACAAAATTATTATGGGATTGTGCCGCATGGTGATTAATATTACAGCCCCATTTAAGCAACCTTTTCAAATCGAAAACGTACTTCAAAATTTCGGTTAGCACACCTACTATATTTCATCAGGAGGTGGGTCACCAGGCCACCTCAACCTGCCAAACTGCCTGAACAGGAGGTTGGTTTTATGAGGTTTTATTTCACAGGCAGAAGAAAGTGGTTATTAAGTTTAAGAGATCAGTTGTTTGGGTGAGCGGGTAGTTCACTAAGGAGGTCATGTTTGACTCTCGTTTGGAGAAGCTGGGGGAGGAATATTCGACCCAATAGACAAACCACGTAGGCCTATAAGAAGCAGACAATGATCCGCGGCAAAGGACAATCCTGCACGCGCTGCATCTGTAAATTTCCGGCCAGGAACCATCGGTTTTTGCTTACGTAAGGTTACTCCTTTGCCGCAGTTGAACCCAAAAGGCGTACCGCGAAACGCAGGGAGACTGGGGTAAATATCTTAACCTACTCGCCGTCGACAGCCAGCCAGTTCATGGCCCGGATCAGGATAGTTTGTACATTTGAAGGCAGACGCTTGAGCCATTGAGCGTTATGTCTAACGCTTAACCATTTACCCACGAGCTCGCTGTACTGACGGTTGTTATCTAGAAGGGTAAGGATCGGGTGAAAACACTGAGGCATCCGTGACATACAAAGAATATCTTCCATATTTATTTAAGAAGGTTTTAATCCGGCACGATTAGCTCAGTTCACTGTCTCATCGTACAAGTTTGGGTCGTCTGTTGTAGACGGTCTAGTGCATTATTTACACTAACCTCAGCTAAGAGAGTCAAGAAGGGATCGTTGTAGACAAAATGAATTATCGTGTGAAGAATGTTCACCGTTCAAGTGCGGGATCTCTGCCGCCCCCATTGTTGTTGTTGTTGTAGGTTAAAATTCTGGTCAAGTGTTTGTTGTAGGCCAAGTGGGATGGTAGTAAGCCTGGTTGTCGGTTAAAAGTCATGCAAGCCATCTGCGTCCTCTCCCAGTCCTCTTGGCACTTTCTTGACACCAGGCTTAAGTGGGTGAGGGAGGAGAGAGCGCGATGGATGCTGCCAAGTCTACTATCATTATAAAATAATTTACTTGCCAGTTGATAAGAAGTAGAAGCGATCGGTGGAACAAGAGCTTTATTCGCCCGACGTTTCGGGTTCACGTTCTGACCTCTCATCAGTGATAGTACCAGAGACGGGTGATTCGTGCACAGGAAATTGCGGTATTTATAGGATGCAGTCGCTGTGCTACTGTATACCTAGGCCAATTAACCGCTCTTCCCTTCATCGAGGACTTTTGCCCGCTGGTGCGCTAATTGCTTGATGGCCGGCATGCAAGTCGTTACTTGCTGAAACTTCATCACCCGTGTTGGATGCTAGCGTGGTGATTGCTCAGCCATCGAGCTCACCGGCCTGCGCGCTCTCCTAGTCGCTAATTACTTTGAGTAAACTATGCCTCAGCACCGAATATAGAGTAGGGATGTCGTTGCACTTGTTGATAGACCGGGGTCCCGTGAACCATAAACCAAGTACCTGGCGGCTCACAGGATTATCAACTCTCGGCAGTATTTTGGTTTCTTCGAACTTGAATGTGTGGCCGAGTCTCGTGGAGGGGGCATCG